CCTTCCTTGAACACAGAACCTTCTGCATTTTGGGAGCTTAGTTTTCACTTCTGCTTTTCAGCTCATAAGTGCAGTTTGGTGACATTTACATTTTAGACCTAATGTATGAACCCTTTGCAAAACAAGAGAGCAGTCCTGGTCCCTTTAACCATAACATGTACATAACCAAATTACTTTCCTTCCAAGTACATTGTAAAAACACTCTGAAAGTTAACGAATCCTTGTTCCTCTAAGTCACAAGCCATGCTGCACCCATAAATGTGGTGAAAATGACACTGATATTAGACAGTCAGCATGATGCTGTAGCTCATAGTTGAGAAGCTAACAACATTTAAGTTGGAATGGACATTTGTTTATAAACAGGCATTAAATCAAAATCATCCTTCACAAAATCCAGCAGGATCTGAACAATGAACTAGGAATACCGAAGTGGTAAGAATGCTGACATGATGTACTTATAAAATTCATGTATGTCAGTAAGAAAAGCCAATGAATCTATAGGAGATTTTTTTAACAGAATAGTATCAAATACAGAACAATGAGAATGCCATGTTTCCTTCTTCATTTCCCTGTGTGTCCCCTGATTTTGTTTGTGAACTTGACACAAGTTAGAGTCATCAGAGGAAGGAACCTCAGTTGAGGGAATGCCTTCATGAAATCCAACTGTAAGTCATTTTCTCAATTAGTGATCAAGGGGAAAGGCCCTGCTCATGGTAGGTTGTGCCTTCACTGGGCTGCTGGTCCTGGGGTCAATAGTAAGGTGGGCTGAGCAAGCCATGGGTAGCAAGTCAGTAAGCAGCATCCTCCATGGTCTCTGCATCAGCTCCTGCCTCCAGGATGATGTTCTGTTTGAGTACTTATCCCAACCTCTTTCAGTAGTAAACAGCAATTCTGAAGAGTAAACCAAATAAACCCTTTCCTCGTCAACTTGTCTTGTGGTCATGGTGTTTTGTCACAGCAATAGAAACCCTCACTAAGACAAATTAGTACCAGTGTAGTGGGGTATTGTTGTGACAGACCTGACCATGTTTTTTGGAGGATTCTGGAAGGACATTGTAACTTTCGAATAGAAGTGCCATTGAGTGTTGAAAGACCTCTGCAGGATGTTATGTGAAAACATGGACGATAAGGATATTGAGAGAAGTGTGGAAAAATGAGGCCTGATTTGCTTTTAAAATATTAGAGAGAAGTTTAAAGAAACTTTGAGGGCCATTTTCTATTTTTGAATTAAGAAAGTAGAAACTGGTCAGCTGGATGTAAGATACTAGCAGAGATTAAAAAGAGACCAGCATCCCTGAGGTGAAATCGGCCTGGAAGTGTTTCTTGAGATCACAGAGAAGCTGTGTTCTAGAGGCAGCCTAGGTTGTTCATGATGGGGCAGCCTGACTTGGTAATGTGTATGTTTGACCCAGGTGGTACTGGTTTTGAAGGCATGAAGGGGTCATGAAGATCAGGAGAGAATTAACACTGTGAAAGGAAAGCAGAGGCCATTGGTTATGGTGCACCTTTAATGGCATTTGAAGGCTCAGGACTGAAGGGGTATTGCAAAGAATTCGAGGCTTGGCATGATGAGGAGAGCCTATGAGAGGATTTTGGTGAAAGTGTAGCCCAGTTGAAGCAGAGAAACCCTGTGTCTTGGAGATGCCAGTGCAGGGGAATGACCACCAAGAACAACATTAGTAGTGGAGAGGAGCCAGTCAGAGCCTAGAAAGTGAGCTGTGTGTACTGTGGAAGTCAGAGCCAGAGGAGTGACTCCAGCCCTTTGGAGATTATAGTACAATGTGAATGGATCCCAATTTTCATTTTGCCTTGATTTGATCAAGACTGTGTCCTGATTCCTCCCTATTGAAGTTATTTTACTGGAGCCCATACTTGAGAGACTTTTAATTTAAAAAGACTTTGGATTTAAAGAGATGGGTTTTTTTAAGGGAGGAAAATGTAAGCTTGAATTTGTAAAGATTGTGAGACTTTTAAAATTATTTAAGATGTTGGTGATGAGTAAGAAAGGATAGGATGTGCCTTAATATTGACATGTTTGTGTTTCTATTTATAAGTGGTCAGGTATATAGCTGGGTTTATTTTGTCAACTTGACACATGTTATAGTCATCAGATGAATGAGCCTCAACTGAGGAAATGCCTCGATGAGATTCAGCTGCAAGGCATTTTCTCAATTAGTGATCAATGGGGGAAGCACACCATGGTGGGTTGTGACATTCCAGGGCTGCTGGTCCTAGGTTCTATTAGAAGCTGGGCTGAGCATGCCAGAGAAAGCAAGTAAGCAGTTCCCCTTCATGACTTATGCATCTGGGAGGCAGAGCTAGACAGAAATCCATGTGTTCAAGGATACAGCCAAGCATGGTGCCTCATGCCTTTAATCCCAGAAAGCGTGTCTTTAATCCCTGGGAGTGATGGTAGAATGCAGAAAGATATATAAGGCATGAGGACCAGGAGCTAGAAGCATTTGGCCTGGTTAAGCATTTGGCTGGTTAAGCTTTCAGGTTTCTAGCAGCAGTTCATCTGAGAGCCATTCTGGATGAGGACTCAGAGGCATCCAGTCTGAGGAAACAGGACCAGCTGAGAATCCAGTGAGGTGAGGTAGCTGTGGCTTGTTCTGGTTCTCTGATCTTCCAGTATTCACCCCAAAAATAACTGGCCTCAGGTTTTATTTTATTAATTAGAACTGTTAAGATTCCTGCTACACCTCCCTTTGTCTATCGTCTGGCTGGTGACTCTGCTTTTCCTCTTCCAAGAGTTCTCTCTCTGTCCAGTTGTCCCAGCTATACCTCCTTCCTAGCATTCATCTTTTTTATTACCCCAATCACAGCAAAACTTTTTCACACAGTGTATAAATATCTCACAATACACATGAGACAATATAGCTGTGGATAAAAGTAGGAATTAATCTATTTTACTGTCACTGTGGGCACCAGACAGTAATGTGAGCTGTTGCAGTGCCCATCTGCAGATAGAGCACAGAGCATACACAGCTACCAATATTCTTTTGGACCCTGAACCTACCTCAGCCTCCATGGAGGAGGAAGTCTCCCTGCAATGATACTTAAGAAGGGTAGGTTCAGGAACTGAACAATGTTAGCCTCTTTTCTTTTTTTCCCTTAGCCAAAATTATCTTTAATTTTTTATCATTTAAAAGATTTATTTTCATTTTACACTCCAACCACAGTTTCCCCTTCCTCCTCTCCTCCTGCTCATCCCTACCCCCATCCACTCCTCATAGAGAGGAAGACTTCCCATGGGGAGTCAAAAAACTCTGGCACATCAAATTGAGGCAGGTCTAAGTCCCTTCCCCCTGTATCAATAGCCTCTTTTCTTGAACACAGAACCTTCTGCATTTTGGGAACTTAAGTTTTCAGCTCTGCTTCTCAGCTTATAATTTTGATGACCTTCACAGTTTAGATGTAATGTATATTCATCTGCAAAACATGAGAGCAGAGAGAGGTCCTTTAACCATAACATTTACATGACCAAAACCTTCTTTTATCCAAACTACATTATAAAACAGTGTGAACGGTAATCATCCCTCGAACACCTGAGACCCAAGCACTCCTGAACCCAAAAGTGTGGTGAAAATGATGCTGATGTTAGACAAGCAGGATGGTGCTGGGGCGCTTAGATGAGATGCCAACAACATTGTTGGAATGAACATTTGTATATGAGGAGGTCTTAATTCAAATCCATCCTTCACAAAAACCCAAAGGATTCTGAACAATAAAGTAGGAACACCTAAGAAGAAAACATGCTGAGAGGTAGCTCCTATGGAAATCATGTATGTTGGAAAGAAAAGGGCACGAATCTATCAGGAATTATTTAGCACAGACTCAAATCAGAGCCATGAGAATAACACATTTCCTTTTCTGTTTCCATGGATTTCTCCCGTGTGTTCATCCAGGAGATCTGAAGAATCAGGTGCTCTTGTGTCCCTTCTGTTCTGTTTGATCCCAACAGCATCAGCCTGCATCTCCCCTTGTTGTAGAACAGTGCTCTCCAGGCATGGCAGTACTCTTGTCCTGTGAGTCTCTGTAAGTGTGATTACACACAGGTCACCTGCACAAGATTGGCCCCATGAATATTCCTTCATGGTATAGAGGCTCCTAAGGCCACTCCTCTTCCATCAGAAATATTGGCAGTTAAATGTTGTAGGCAAAGCTATTTTTTCATGAATCTAAACACTGAAAAGTTTCCAATATTGATGAGCATAGTGGAGCACACAGTTCTCAACAGTCGTATGTGAGACTGTTGCTGGATCTAGTCTAGACTACATAGTGAGTTCCAGGACAGCCAGAGCTACATAGTTAGACCCTGTTTCAGCAAACATATAAACAAAAACAAAATATCCCCAAAAACCAAGATTGATGACTGGCTTTCAGGGAACCCTAATATAACTCATTGCTTCATCAGGTAGATTTTTGTGGAGTCTTGTCTTGCCATGGAGACTGTTGTCTGATGTTGGGTGTGTAGGATTTGTGCTTGTATCCCTAGGTAAATTTCACAGAACATCCACAAAGCATCTCTGAAAAAGCTAGAAACCTGGTGATGAGCTTTGTCTAGCTGCAGGAGTAAAGGAGAACCAAGCAGAAGCTCAGAAAGAAAACGACCAACTGCCTCGGAGCTCATCAAGTTAAGGTCCTGACTCAGGAAGTCACCAGGATTATTTTGCATTAAGTCCTGGTCTGTGGTGACTGGGAGCATACAGGCAAATGTAGAGCGTTACAGTGGAGATGTTCTGAAGGAAGAGACCACAATCAGACTTGGGCTTGTAATCCCAGCACTCAGCAAGCTGAAGGATGAGGAGTCTGAGACTTGCATGAGGTTTAAAAGGTTCTGTCTCAGAAACAGAAACAAAAACTAAGGAACCAGGGAGAGACAGAAGCCACAAATTCTGGAAGCCAACCCACTACAGCACAGGAAAGAAGCGTCAGGCGCCTGGTTAGAGCAGTTCCTCTTCCTCAGGGGCATCCTCATGATCACAAGCAGAACCCAGTCTGCACAGGCCACAAATTTTGTGTCTGTGTATGTTTGGAAAGGAGGCCAATCTTCTGTAAACCTGTGGCAACTGGAAGATGCCATGACCCCCCTTTTTACAGGTCTACTCTATCTTGGTGAGATGTCAAATGGGGAGGGAGAATTCTCATCTGATAGGGTATCCACCTCACAACCACGAATTGGTCCATGAGGATGTCTCAGCAGCTCTATAAGGCATCTGGAAGTGGAGGTCATGCTCATGTTTCAGTGCAAACTCTCACAGGTAACTAACTCTTTTGCAGGACTGAGTCTGGATCTCAGGAACACAGTATTGGCAGGTGAGTGTCTTCTCAGCTGTCCCAGTTTGGACATCCTTGGTGGGGACCATAGGTAATTCCTGAACAGGGAAGATGAAGGGCAGTTGGTGTGGGGGTTATGCTGGGGATACCTGAAATTTCCTAAGTCTGCGAAGCTGATATCTGAGGGAGAGTTCTGTGAAAGCAGCTGTTAATTTTCTTTCAGGGGCCCTCTCTAAACCTACACTCTGGGCAGTGCCAAGAAATATGGTAGCCATTGGGAACCAGGTGACATTATTCTGTGAAGGGCCCTTAGAGGCCAAGGAATATGTTCTCTACAAAGAAGGAAGTCCAGATTACCCAATACCAACAACCCTTTTAGAGACTGAAAACACAGCCACATTCTCCATCTCATCGGTTGAATGGTACCATGCAGGCCAATATTGGTGTGAATATAAAAGCAATAATGGTATGTCAGAAAGAAGTGACTTCCTGGAGCTGGTGGTAACAGGTGAGAGGACCTTTACTAACCCCACATTCTGCCTTAAGGAAAGAAACATGTTCACTCTGAGTTCCTTTCTCAAATATGAGAAAGGAGAAAAATACTTTTCATGTGAGCCCACATGACAGGCTTTCTCTTCTCTCCTAGGATGCTACTCAAGCAAAGTCACCTTGTCTGCCATTACCAGCTCTGTGGTGATCTCAGGAGGGCATGTGACCCTTCGGTGTGTCTCAGACCAGAAATATAAGATGTTCATTCTAATGAAGGAAGATGAGAAGTTCTCCAGGCCTTTGCCCTCACAGAATATACACCCTGGGATATTTGGAGCTGTGTTCACAGTTGGTCCTGTGACCCCAAACCAGAGATGGATATTCACATGCTATGGCTATCATTTGAGCATCCCCCAGGCATGGTCAGTGCCCAGTAATCAACTAGAGCTCCTGGTCTCAGGTAAGGAAGTGCAGAACTTTACTTTACATGATATTGTAACTGACACAGGATCCCAGGAAAGGACTAATGTGTTGTGGGTGATCTCCAGGCACAGCTACTGAACTCAGATTCATAGATCTGTGGGACAGCTTGAATTCAGGTGCAGAAATTGAGGTCTAATTAACAGTGGAACTCAAAATCCAGGGAATAGTGAGTTCTTTAAGTATTCTTATATAACGGCAAATCAGTTTAGATGTCATTGGCAAATGTGACCTTCTTTGTGATATTCTCCTAACAGATGCACCTCCTTCTTTTCTACTTTTGGGCAGAGATCCTTCATAAACCCACCATCTGGGCTCACCCTGGCTCTGTGATCCCCTCAGGGAGTCCTGTTACCATCTGGTGTAAGGCAACCCTGAGAGCACAAACCTATGTAATATATAAAGAGGGAAGCCAAGAGCCCTGGGACCAACAGAGTCAAACAGACAACAAAGAGGCAAAACTCATCATTCCATCTGTGACACAAGTGCAGGCAGGCCGGTATCACTGTTACACTCACACCTCTGCTGGATGGTCACAGCGCAGTGACCCCTTAGACCTGGTGGTGACAGGTGAGAAGATACCAGAAATATTAACCGGAGATGTCACTCTCAAGAAAAGACTGCACTAATAGTACCTCCCATCAAAGGACAGCAATGGGTTGGGTGCAATTCAGGGTTTATGATCCTCTTATTTTTCCATTTGTATTTCTTCTAGGAGTCTACAACAAACCCACCCTGTCAACCACGCTTAAATTTACCAATCCTGTGGTAAATTTAGGAGGGTTTGTGACCCTCTCTTGTAACTCAAGTCAGAGATATGACTCGTTCATTTTAACTAAGAATGGTCAGAAGTTCTCCTTCCCTCAGAGCTCAAGACACACACACACTGGGATGTTCCTGGCTGAGTTTCCAGTGGGTCCAGTGACCTCTAACCAGAGGTGGAGGTTCAGATGCTATGGCTATTACACAAATAACTCTCAGGTGTGGTCAGAAGGGAGCGGCGTCCTGGAGCTCCTGGTCTCAGGTGAGGAAGCCTCAGACTCTCTGTGGAATCAGGTTGCACCTGACTCATGTTCCCAGTGAAGACCAGGGTTGTGATATGTCTGTGCAATCAGGGCTCCTGAGATAACTGACACAGCATGGAGACTGTGGGAGTCACTGTACAGAAAATGGGGGGGGCATAGTGAGACTGGGGCTTGGTGAGGTCAGTGGACTAATGACAATTCCCATGACATTATTGGTCCTTTCCTAACCAAGGGTAAATTTCAAGATCAACAGCATGCTTGATGTTTACTGTGAAACTGATCAAATTCCCATCTGCTTCTCACCTACTTCCCTTCAGGAAACCTTCCAAAACCCACCTTGTGGGCTGAACCAAGTTCTGTGATTGCCTCTGGCAATGATGTGACCATCTGGTGTGAGGGGTCCAAGGAAACCCAAATATATTTCCTGTATAAAGAAGGAAGCTCAGCACCCTGGTACAGTCATACTCCCAAAGATCCTGGTAACAAGGCCATGTTCTCCATAGCATCCATCGGAAAGCATCATGCAGGGAAATATCGCTGTTACTCTTATAAATCTGCAGGGTGGTCAAGGCATAGTGACACCATGGAGCTGGTGGTGACAGGTGAGAGGACACTTCTCCAACACTAGAAACATCATTGAGGACAGGAATATGTTCACTGTAGTGTGTCCTCATATTCCAAAAGAGAGTAAGTTGTTTAACATGTGATTTCACTTACCATGCTTCCTATTTCTTCCTAGGTGTTTACCCCACCAAAATCACTCTGTCAGCCCTTTCCAGCCCTGTGCTGACCTCAGGAGGAAATGTGACCTTTCAGTGTGTCTCACAAAAGGCGTATAACAGGTTCATTCTAATGAAGGAAGAAGAGAAGTTCTCTAGGCCTTTGCCCTCACAGAAAATACACCCTGAGCTATTTGGAGCTGTGTTCACAGTGGGTCCTATGACCCCCAACCAGAGGTGGAGTTTCACATGCTTTGGCCATGATTGGAGCAACACACGGGCATGGTCAGTGCCCAGTAACTCCCTAGAGCTCCTGCTCTCAGGTAAGCAAGTGTAGCACTCTCCTTTGGCTGTAATTATAACTGACACAGGATCCCAGGAAAGGACCTGTTGTGTAGTGAGTCATTGTGAGCCAGGACTACTGAACTCAGTGTCTCAGAATGTGTGATACAGCTTGACCTGAGGAACAGAAACTAGGGTTGACATTAAGGATGCAATTTAATTTCCTTTTGAAAGTGTGGTGCTTATGTATCCTTCTGCTATTGCAAATCAGCTTATGTGTCCCTGCAATGGTGACCTTCTCTGTGCAATTCTCCTAACAGATGCACTTCCTTTCTTTCTTCTTCTTTGCTGGGATCCTTCATAATCCCTCAATATGGGCTGAGCCAGGCTCTGTGATCACATCAAAGAGTTCTGTCACCATCTGGTGTGAGGAGACCTGAAAAACCCAAACATATGTGCTACACAAATAGGGAAGCCTAGATCCCTGGGGCAGACAGACCCAAAAGAATCACAACAATAAGGCAAAATTCACCATCCCTTGTGATAACACTGCAGACAGGTTGATATCACTGTTACTCTCACAACTTTCCTGGCTTGTCAGAATGCAGGGACACCCTGGACCTAGTGGTAACTGGTGATAGGATAGTCTGGAGTCATGTGGATCCCCAGATGTGACTCTTAAGATAAGGGTATGCTCTGAATATATCCCCATGTGTCAGTCAGGTCTGAGGGACAATCCACACTGTGTGAAGCCATTTAATATTCCATATGTATCTCTCCTACATGTCGAAAATAAACCACATTGTTTTCACTGCCAAACCCTGTAGTACTCCTAGAAGGCTCTGTGATCCTCTCATGTACTTAAATCAGAGATACAACTGATTCATTTTAATTAAGCATAAACAATTCTTCATCTCCATGTGCTTACAATATATATATGATGGGCTGTCTCTAGCCAGGTTCCAGGTGAGTCCCATCACACTCAGTAAAAGATGGAGGTTAGCTCTCCTCAAGTGTTGTCAGAAGGTAAAGACATACTGTAGCATCTAGTCTCAGAGGAAGCCCCAGCCTCTCTGTTAACTGACACTGAACCTGAAACAGGTTTCCCCAGGAGACCCGAATGTGTGATGAGTTAAGGAAAGGACAGGTCCATTAGCCCACTGATACAGAAGCAGACCATGGGAGTGAAGGTAGAGAAACCAATGAGGGGTCTTGTGAGAATGAAACCTGGTAGTTAGCAGAGAGATGGATCTTCAGATTGCTGCATGTGTTCTTCTGTTATTCAAGGCTTAAGTCTGAGTTTCACATTAACTGTACAACTGCTTAAAGTTCCACATTGCTCTCACTTACCTTTTTCAGGGACGCTTCAGAAACCCACAATCTGGGCTGAGCCAGGCTCTGTGATCACCTCAGGGAATCCTGTGACAATCTGGTGTGCGGGGACCAAGGAAACCCAAATATATTTCCTGTATAAAGAAGGAAGCTCAGCACCCTGGAACAGTCAAACTCCAAAAGATCCTGGTAACAAGGCCATGTTCTCCATAGCATCCATGGAAAAGCATCATGCAGGGAAATATAGCTGTTACTCTTACAAATCTACAGGGTGGACAGAGCGCAGTGACTCCCTGGAGCTGGTGGTGACAGGTGAGTGGACACTATGGGTCACAGTCCTCACCTTTTCCTGTGGGGGCTGCAAGGAAACCTCAGGTCAGGCTGACATAGTAGTTGCCAGTTCACACTCTTAAAAGTCTGAAACGGGGTCACTTATTGCAAGCAATTTTAAACACAGACAATTCTGAAAAAAAAATTACTGATGTAATCAAAACCCTAATGAACAACGAGGCATAATTACATCAAAACTCAAATCAGAGTACATTTGAACATGAAGTTTGATTTTATATCTTAAGGGCCTTTGCTCTGGTGTTGTCTCTGACTGAGGTAAAGCCAATGTCAGCAGGCTAAAAAGTATATGTGACATCTCCCCAAAGGATGAGCTTTATTAATGAATGCCACTGATAAAGGAGAAGAGTCTGCGATAAACATCCTCAGGGATTCAGGTGAGGTTTGGATCTACAGATGGAAAGGTCACCTGAGTATTAACAACATGCACTCTTAACTTTCTTTTTAGAAAACAGGTACTTATCTCCTGCAATGAGCAGTCACAGTACATGAGTAACATTTCTGATTTCTCCCACATTATTTGTGAGCATGAGTACATTATGTCCTCTACATTTTCCCTCAGGAAATACATCTCTAAACATTTTCAGCCATAGCCCAGCTGCTGCAGACAATGTATTATTTAAGAGACACTGGGTTGAATCCTCAGCAATGCACCTTGTCTCTGGGTGTCTTTTGGGGCAGGAAAAACTACTGGAAGAGTTCAGAGATGATCCCATGTACATGGCTATGACAATGATAGGACGTAAATACAAACAGTCCACATTGGGTGTTCACACAGTAGGTTCTTTATTATTGATTGATTGATTGATTGATTGACTGATTCTTTTCTAATACAATTCATCCCAATTGCCACATCCCTTCCCTTCACTCTTTTGTGTTCCCCACACACATCCACTCTTCCCAATACCATTACTCCTGTCCCATCTCCCCCAGGAAGAGAAGACCACTTAGGGGCATTAATTGAACATGGCACAACATGATACCATAATATTTGCCAGAAACCCTCCCCTCAAGGCAGGTGAGGGAGAAGAGTCAGAAGAATATTCTCAAGATCAGGAAAAAGTGTCAGATGCACCCACACCACCACTCTCAGAAGTCTCCCACAAAACACCAAAATAAGAAGCGTAACATATGTGCAGAGGACCTAGTCCAGACTCATGAAGGCTCTGTGATAGCCTCTTCAGTCACACACCATAAGTTCTAATTTACAATTCTTCATTCATGATGTCCCCTGTCTCATAGAACTGGAAGGATACCAAAAGGCTGTGATTGGTGTCTCTGTGGCCTTCTTCCTCCTGCTCTTCCTCCTCATCCTCTTCTTTTTCCTCAAACTGAGGCATCAGAAGAATGACAGGAAGGGGGGTGAGTAGGGTGTGGGAGGCCTGGGTCTCAGTGTGGTCTCAAAGTGGGTACCACTGTGGGATATCTAAGCAGGGACCCAGGGCATCAGTCCCAGGGAAAGCTCAGACTGGGATATATGAGCTTAGAAACACTTCTGTAGAATCTCAACACAAAATGAGATCTGGAAATATGTGCAATGTCCTCTATTGTATGGACTTTTCCATCTACTGGAAGATTTTAACCGACATGCAATGAATTGGTCCCTACTTTTTCTGAGGCTCCTTCCTCCCTTGCAGTGCAGACAAAGACTGACTTGCAACATCCTGCAGACTCAGCGAACAAGGGCAAAAGCTTCCAGAAGAGGTAACTCATGCCCAGAAACATTGACCTTACCTGCCTGATTCCATCACTGTCAGTTGACACCCTCTTCTTTCCACAGATCCACACCAGCTCCTGCCATCCAGGAAGAAATCTTGTGTGAGAGGAAGAGGACCCGGGAGGAGGGAGATGTCTGAGATCTCAGCATCACAGGGGTGTAGGAGGGCCTGGGACACTGAACCCTCTCTGTGCACCCACACCCCCTACATCTTCTCCTTCCATATGTGGGATATAGCAGGGGTCTGGGGATGTGAGATGTCCTGGGAATCTGGTCAGGGGAAAACTTGCATGTTTGTTATGACAGATGCTACTGTGAAGGTCACACAGCCTGCAGATAGCATGGAGCTGGATGTCCTGGTGAGACTATTGCTTATCCACAATGCTAAGAACTTATGCCCCAATATAATGCCACAGCAATCTCTGTTCTTACCCTCTTCAGCCCTTCGTATCATCCACAGCTGGCTCCTTGTTTCTTGAAGCACCTATATTGTGTATGCTATGATCTCAATCTTTCTTTGTTTACTTTGACAATATGGCCCCAACTTTCTGACTCCTCAACATCTCTCTGGTTTCTAAAGTGATTTTAGAGGCACAAAAGAGAAAATGAGGGTCATAAGTTGTAGCTGAATGATAAAGTGAGTACTTTAGATGTGTAAGTCCTTGTGTTAAACTCTAGTGATAAAACTAACAAGTAAATGAACATGAAAGACAAGTAAGTGAGTTCCATGTGCCTGAGAACATGTGTGCACATGTGTTTAAGCACAATTAGAAGACAGGGGTCATCATCCGATGTGATGTCTTCATCTATTTTTCTCTAACTCATTTTCTCTGTCAGACTCTCTTAATGTCCATGGTGCTATTTATTTGGATGGATTGGTGCCACTGAGCACTGGGCACCAGTTGCTCCCTCATCATCACTTAGGTCCCAGGCATGTGAATTACTGCATGGCCCTTTTTTATGTAGCCACAGGGGATCACACTCAGGTGCTCATGTTTGCATAACAACCACTCTGGTGCTTGACTCCTCTCCCCAGCTCAAGTGTCTCCCTCTTGACTAAGCTTCTGTAAGGGCTGCAGATACAGCCAGGGACAGAACTCTATACCCACTGTGACAAGCTCAGATGTGAAATGATATGGAAATAAACTGAGACTGAGCAGTGCAAAGTGTATGAGGGAAATATATTAGAGGATATGGGTTGAGTTATGTAAGGCAGAGATGATCAGTGTGAGATTTAAGGGAACTTGAAAGACGCCTTCTGTGGAGAAGCCTGAGTAGAGTTTCATACAACCTGTGATGAAGTTCCACACATAGTTATGGAGCATGGTAGATCCAAGTGTCCTCGGGGTAGGGACATTCTCTTTCCAGATGATAGAAGCATGGGAGAGGTCATCAATATTTAAGGATAATATTTCACAAGCACAGAGAAGTAACTGGCAGGCACCCTTATAGTCCCTAGAAAGTCTCAGAAGACTCCTTCAGCAATAGTTTACTTTAATAAAAATGTCTGAAGTATCATTCTTGCTCCCTGTGGAAGTATGTGTTGAGAGCCTCTGAGACACCACATCAATTACCTTTGTTTCATGGTCTCTCTCTGCTGCAGAGCCAACATGAGGAAGACACCTCTAAAGACTTGTACGCCCAAGTGAAACCCTCGAGACTCAGAAGGACAGAGATCATCTCTTCTTCTCTCATGCCAAAGGAATTATTGGCCTCAAATGACACAGCATCCAAAGGAAATCAAGTGATAGATGAACAGGTGGGTCTTGACTTCTCTAGTTCCCCATGCTCCCAGTGCCCAACCTGGACTTTCTTCTACACTTTCCCACTGCAGGCTGCTACAACAGAGCAGCCACATGATGTGACCTATGCCCAGATGTGCATTGTGACCCCAAGACTCGGACATGTGAACCTCCCTTCTTCCAGGCAGAAAAGTTCAACCTGAGATCATAGTCTGGCCTCTACCAATCCCGGGAGATCACACTCTGCATTTCATGGAGTAGGGAGGATTCAGGGATGTCAGAAAACAAGATCTGGCTCAGGTGCACAGTCATAGTGCAGACATGACTGGTCTCTGTAGCACGAATCTTTAAGAGTCTTATTAATAAAATCAAACCTGAGGCCAGTTATTGGGGTGAATGCTGGAAGATCAGAGAAGCAGAAGA